CTTTTTTTTAAAGTAGTTTTTTTTTTTTAATCCAGCCCACCCAGCAGGAATGGGTACCTGACTTCGATTAGGGGAAGTAAAGTTGGTGTGGAAAGGAATTTACTGGTCACCCTACCACAAAATGCCGAAGGCCCAGGAAGTTGTCTCACTAACAAGGCAATCCCCTATGTCCGGATCGGATGCGGGAACAACTTTTTTAGTTTTCAATCGCGTATGCGGGTGGTTGGAGGGCGCCACAGGTAGGTCCTACTATTATACATCTTTTCTTTCCTTCTGGTGTGTCCGTCTGTGTGTCTGTCTGTCTGTCTTACTTTTCCCCAGTACTAGATGACCATTATGCCCCCACCCCCTTTTACCCACCCCCCTGTTTATTAACTTTGGCCCACTCTTTTATTCCTACCCCCTGCCCCCTTTTTTTCAATACCTTAGAGAAAGGAGATTGAGATGAATAGAGATGACCGACTGTTATTTGAGTAAAATCTTGAGACAAAAAAGAAAAAAAGAAAAGAAAAAAAGGTGACCATTATGAGCCGGTGACGGTGTGCTTCTCTTTGCTCAAACAAACAAATAAACAAACAGATGATCGAGTATCTCGGTCTTTTTGCTGAGACGTTATTTCTAATTTCATCCCGAGGCGTCCTGATAAGAAGGATCGAGGTCAGCCTCCTAAATCATTGGAATTAAGTCGATGTTTTTTTCGGGGAAAAGAGGATTAAATTTGGGGGGGGGGATAATACATCTACATTAGAAAAGAAGGACAAAAGAAAACATTGAGAAGCTTCGTCACGAATCAACACCAGTCGAACCATTAATAATAATTATAGGTTATAAATAGAGGATGGATTGATCATGTTCTGAGAAGAGAGCCAGACGCTCTATTGTAAAGACTGCCCTCCATGGGCACTGGGCAGTACTGGACACCCGAAGGACATCGCAAGAGGGGCAAACCCAAAGTGACCTGGAAGACACACATGACACAGTAGAGTCTGAAATGAAGTCCTGGAACCATTCGTGGGAGACGTTGAACAAGATGACCCACTGTAACATCCTTGCCTAAATGCCAGATGGCGTAACGGGTAATAATAATAATAATAATAATAATAATAATAATAATAATAATAATAATAATAATAATAATAATAATAATAATAATAACAATAGTAATAATAACAATAGTAATAATAACAATAATAATAATAATATAATAATAATAATAATAATAATAATAATAATAATAATAATAATAATAATAATAATAATAATGATGATGATGATGATGATGATAACAATAATAATAATAATAATAATAATAATAATAATAATAATAATAATAATAATAATAATAATAATAATAGAGGCACCCAGCTATTAGGCCTCCTATAACAATCAATACTGTTTTGGTGCTCTTTTAGCTGGAGTAAAAGACTGATTCCTAATGTTGTTGTTGTTGTTGTTGTTCATTATTGCTTGAGTAACAGTTTTGCGCACTTCCAACACAAAAAGATTGTATGAGTGTTGAAGATTAGGTGTTACCAGAGAGTGGCATACAAAGAAAAGGAGGGGAGAGATAAGGATGACCTAATCAGATGTTTGATATAGGAGAGAAGAAGCAATAATCACCCCATCTAAGTGAATAGTAATAATAATAATAATAATAATAATAATAATAATAATAATAAAAATAATAATAATATAATAACAATAATAATTATTATTATTATTAATACTAATAATAATAATAATAATAATAATAATAATAATAATAATAATAATAATAATAATAATAATAATAATAATAATAATAATAACGTTATAGAAGTTAGTGTATCCTAGCAGTAGGCCTAGTACCGTACTAGTATTAGCTGTAGTAGTAGTAGTATTAGCAGCAGCAGCAGCAGCAGCAGCAGCAGCAGCAGCAGCAGTAGTAGTAGTAGTGTAGTAGCAGTAGTGCCCGGTAGTAGTAGTAGTAGTAGTAGTAGTAGTAGTAGTAGTAGTAGTAGTAGTAGTAGTAGTAGTAGTAGTAGTAGTAGTAGTAGTAGTAGTAGTAGTAGTAGTAGTGCCCGGTAGTAGTAGTAGTAGTAGTAGTAGTAGTAGTAGTAGTAGTAGTAGTAGTAGTAGTAGTAGTAGTAGTAGTAGTAGTAGTAGTAGTAGTAGTAGTAGTAGTAGTAGGCTAGCCTCTTATGACAGAATGAATAGTTTGATCACGACTCATATTATTGGGCCTTATTCCTGATAAGAACAAATACTATAGTCTATAGACTACGATAAAAAATGTAGATAGATCTACTCCTACTTATCATCGGTGTTTTTGTTTTCATGCTATGCATTAAATATCAGTCAAGAGTCTACATTATATATTTGTGAAGCGCAAATTAGATTCGACGCGTAATAACCGTGCTGTCTGTTGTTATCATACTTGTGATAATGACTACTCTTTTGATCCATTGCTTCCCCCCAAGGCGAGTTACAGTTTTACAAAGTCAAATCTTTGGTGTATTTCTACTTTTATATAAACAATATGGTAGCCTCCATGAACTTGAGAGTTCTATCAAGTAATAATACTGAAGTGCAGCAATATTCTGCAATGAATCTACTGAACTGGCAATTCACATATCGTCAATATTGTTTCACTTTTGAAAAAGATAACCATTGACGATCTAGATCTAGATCCCTTTTCAGGTATGCACGATACCAATGGACATGTTCCTTCGTTGCAAGAAGTATCCATCACTTCACTTTTACACTTTGTACTCGTTAGTCTACGCTACGCTACGCCTTGTCTTCGTCTTCTACTTCTAGTCTTGTGTTTGAGTTAAAATTAGAGGATGTTGATCTAAGCATTAATTAGTTAAATCACTTAAAGTGGTATTTTATGCTTCACTTGTTATGAGGTCTGTTATTGGTGTATTCCTCTAGGTCTAGACTAATGATCAAATTAAATGGCATTTTATTTGTTGGATTCTTCAGTCTTCAGCAAATTACAAACTGAACGATTGCCAGCTTGTCATCTGTTCCTCCCCCGTAATCTGTCCTATGCCCATTGATGAATTGACTTTTATTATATTATCACTGTATTGTCAATCTATTTCACTGAGCAATTATTGATTTAGTACTTAAAGTTTTTAATTTAAAGTCAAAAGAAAATGACGGAGATGATGCAATCCAGGTTTTGATAATAAATTTGTGTTCTGTATTGTCTGTTTAATTGAAATCAGTTATTACTTAAATAGCTTGATTATATTTTAAAAGAGAGATGATTATTGTATCGTAATCTTTTTTGTAAATTTTGATTGTGAAAAATAGGAAAATAAGATCTCAATAGGAAAATAAGATCTCAATAGGAAAATAAGATCTCAATTCCTTCATCTACCGTGTTGCTGCATCTGACTGACAAAGAAAACCTGATGGCCCCCCAGATTTTGGTTTAGTAAGCTTATATCCTTAGTTTTTATTTTTGAAATATGAGTTCTGCCTTCTTGTATTAATATTATATATATATATAAATGTAATTATACATGTAAAAAGTCATCATGTTATTCTTTAAAGTGTAAACACCTCTTTACTGACATGGATCAATATTGTTTCTATTCCCGTGCAATCCCAGGCTGCCTGGGACATGGAAGTGTTCAGCAGGTTGCTGGCCTCGGGGAGCCCAGTGCTGACAGCTGGCAACTGTCTTCATGCGGTGAAGAGAGTGTCTTTGCACAGGTCGAGCTGGAAGCGATCGAGTTGTGTTGTGTGGAACTCTGCCTCTGTTACGAGTGATAGTCTACCTGTTGTCAAAAATAACAGAAACAAAAGTTTTCTAGGGAACGCTTTTATTGTTTCAAACCATAAACTTTTATTATGCAAGAGCAAATACACCCCACTAATACTGACAGCCCATCAGCTGAGATGTGCAGGATTATCACATTTGAGTGGTGCAGCTCCATATTCAACTAAAAGTTCGCAAGTAGCCAACATATCGGCAATTCTGAAAAATCAGTCAGCTTTACAAGTGAAACGACAGACCCGGAAAAAAGTTCCCAAGGTTACAGGTGATGGAAAGGTCAGTGATAGATGGTCTCAACGTTTTGGTTGTTTATTTTTGTTTTGTTTTGTGTGTGCTTGTGTGCTCAAAATATACTACTCGTGAAGCTGGAGTATTGGTGCAGAAAATAATATGAACAAGGATCCTTGTGAGGCTTTGGAACCACCAATATATATATATACAGAAAAGATACGGTTTTATACTTTCTCTAATGAGTTCTAGTCTTTCTAATTCAGTCTTCTTCCCTATTTAAAGTAGGATGAGATTTACTGAGATTATAATATAATTATAACCAACAGCATGAACGCTATACCCATTGCAATCAAAATAAAATGTACCTACTCTCGGTTAATTTATCTATGCACAAATATTTCCGAAAAATCTATTTTTAAACTGATTTTGGCCTGCGTGCTGTGTGTGGAGAATTCATTTTACTGTCATAGTCATATTGCAGTTTCTTCAACTATTTCAGGTCTGAGGTCTTTTTATATATATATATATATGGCTCAAGGTTAATACTTGATATTTTCTGCCCTCGTGCGAGGTGCCATATATGTAGAAATGATTTTCCTCTGCCCCCAGACGATGCAGGTAAACAACGTGGTGGCGTACGCCGTGGCGGAGGAGCTCAATCTGGCAGGTTTGCTGGTGCACTTACAGAAACAGGGACTTTACCAGGTCGGGGAGCTGCCTCAAGGTGGGCCTTTACCCTTGTGTCTGTTTATGTATTGTACGGATATTGATATATATGTGTGTCACGACGTGGTAGAATCAGGCGCTCGTCAATTTTTTTGGCATATGAGGTTATTGGTATCATCTTAAAGCCTGTCAATTTTCCTTCCTTTTGCCGAAAAAATATCCATCTATGTTGAAAAAAAGTCGAAATATTTACGATTGAATAAAGTCAGGATTGTCTGATTTCAGAGGTAAGATTGGCGAGAATTCCGCCAAAATGTTGTAAGTTCCATAGCCTGAGAGTCCTTGGAAACTGAAAATTTACATATTTTGTGCCTTAAATCTATGTTTTCCAGTAAAATCCACACAAAAATGTGTTCTTTAATGGACATAAAAGGTGTTGAGCAAAAAAAGAAAATAAGAAAAAATTGCCCATCGGCAAAATAAATGCTGATTTCTTTGATTTCATTACTTTGACGAGTGCCTGATATCACCACGATGCCTCACATATAAATATATATATATAATTTATATTTTTCAAATATTAATATATTGTACAAATGTGTCTATGTAACTAGAAGCTGACGGGCTCAAACTCAGATAGCCGTTGAATTGGAAAAGGGAAATATGTAAAGTAAGTTGCAAAGTAAAGTAAATGTGACTTTCGAAACCTGTGATCAGGTTCCTGCATGTGGTGTGAGGGATGCATCTGATGTGATATAATGTTGTGTTATTGTCAGCTTTATATTTCTCTTCATATTGAAATTTTCAAATTAAAATGATATGCAATTTCAATTCTGTGTTTATCTTCTTGGGTTTTTTCACCATTCCTGTACAGCCACAGAAAGTTCCCCACAGAGACAAAAAGATATTATCTTATCTTATCTTATCGTATTTTGTCTTATCCAAACACAACTTCAAGTTTTTTTTTCATTTTTTAAAAATGGATCTCTTTGTAACCTTATAGTATATTTGACACTCTCTTTAGGGAATATTCTTGAATAGATAAATTAACGGAGAGTGGGTACGTTTTATATTTATTGGAATGGGTATAGCATGCTCTTGGCGGTTGTTGAGTAATAAGTATAGCGTTTATGCTGTTGGTGATTGAGAACATGACAGAAATGTGACCACCGTATGGTTGCTGACGAGCTTGACCTGGAAAGTGTTGAAAAATAAGTGGAAGTTTGTGCAAATTAAAACTAATTATTCATGTATTTTCAATTTTATTTAGCTTTTTCTCAAGAAAACTCAGTTTTTAAACTGATTCTTTGGCATGTGAGCTGTTGTTTGGAGAAGTCCCTCTACCGTCGTTATATTGCAGTTTCTTCAACTATTTCAGGTCTTAAGTCTTTGTTAGGAGGAGGAATATTTGGGTTTACTTTTTCTCCTCTCATGAATTAAATTTTCAGATATGTTATATTTTCAATCAATATAAAGCTTAGTGAATTGACTCATATGACTTGTATATGGTCGCTTTTAAGCACAAGGGGGCTATCCCGAAAAATGCTGTTTTGAGAAAATCGAAGGTAAAGTTTTTGCCCCTTTTTCAGTTTCTTTAGAAGACAAGGAGAGTTTTCTCTGTAACCAAACAAATATACACACCAATGAAACCAAACTTCTCTTATAGGTAGGGCAATGCCCACTTTTGGTGTAGGTTCAGATTGCTGGAAACCCCCGAAATATGGGTTAGCCTGCTTGTCCTTAAAAGCGACCATATTGCGTTTTTAATTGTAAGAAAAATGCTGTTATTGACTGCTCACTTTTCAACTATTTTTCCTGCCAGATGTGACCAATGCGCTACACGTCAGAGGAAAGTACAAAGTGGACTTGAGGCCAAAGGAAATTTTCATATTTCAGTGAGTAGCTGGTCTCTTTGGGCGTCGGTGGCCTAGTGGTTAGGCTCTCAGACTCGCAACCGTAAGGTCGTGGGTTCGAATCCCGCCAGGGGCCCGA